AATGCTACTAAATATCACCTATTGGACTTAGCGAACTTACAGATTTATGCATAATACATATGAGGTGGAGAAACACATCTTCTGGTTCATGGCCAACAATTGTAATTTTTTTAGGTTAAATTCAGTCTTTCTTCTTGTAATCTATCAGAATCTTCCTCTATACAGTGTAATAATAAGAAAAAAGGCTTTATTCTGTGAGGAAGGGCATAAATATATGTTCCTAAGAATGAAGACTCAGCAAAACAAACATGCATTAATCAGGGGTGTAGTCCCACCCAGTAGCACACAGAACTACAAACTGTTACATTAAAAATATTTTGGATATTTCAACAGGCCCTGGCAATTCTGGTCTTTGAGATTATAGGTTCAATTTCCGCATAATATTTGTATGTCTGTGTTTTCCATTTATTCTCATTAAAGCTGGTTGTGTGGCATCGAAATAGGCCTATGATTTATTTAGTATCATCTGAAATTTCTTTCTGAACGAAATGTATCTTCTAGAATGGAAATGAGGGCTTTAGTCTAAGCACATATTGCCTCAATTAATATGAGTCAGGATAGCACAGTCTGTGATTGACTGCAGACTAGATGACCAGGGTATATTCTATACAGAGTGAGGGATATTCATCTTTGCCATTGCTTTCCACTGATTTATCAGTAATGCCATGAATGACAGAATTTGAGCAATAAGTATGGTGTTGTATCTCATGTCACAATTGGTCAAAGCATGTGAACCCCAGGCATACATTCTGAAGTGACACCTGTAGCTTTCCTAAGGAACAACTGTGCATGTTTATTTTTGGAGGTTAGCAATATATAATTTTAAAGCATGTGAACCCCAGGCATACATTCTGAAGTGACACCTGTAGCTTTCCTAAGGAACAACTGTGCATGTTTATTTTTGGAGGTTAGCAATATATAATTTTAAAACATTTGTTTTCAAATTGTTTGCTCATAGACATGTATGTGTTCTTTCCCCCAATTTGAATGTTATGGACCCACTGATTTCCCTTATGCTATTATTTTAAAAATATTATTTGCTAGCTTATGGTCTTATGATTTATGATGTCACACAATATTCTGTGTAGTTACTTTACATTAATGGTGTCATAAGCCAGAAGACCACAATTTAAATTTTCACTCATGTAAAATGTCAGATCTCATATAATTTCCTAGATTTGTGTTAATACAAACTTAAGCTGGCACGTGGTAATGTAGTTCATTGAGGCACTATGCTACAAGCTGGAAGGTAGCGGGTTCAAGTCCCGATGAGGTGGATTTTTTCAATTTACCTAATAATTACAGCTGCATTATGGCCTTGGGGTCGACTCAGCCTCTAAGAAAAATGAGTACTAGGAATCTTCCTGGTGGTAAAGGGCTGCGGGTGCGTAAGGCTGACAAACTTACCTACATCTGTGAGCCGATGGTCTAGAAAATGTGGGAGCCTCAATATCTCACAACCCTGTGGGTATCATTTTCACAGTCTTTCTATCGTACGAGAGAATAGCGGAAGCGATGTCAAAAGAATTAGGGAAGCCATTACATACAAATCATCTCCTTGAATAAAAATTAAATAGATCAGCAGATAAAGAAATCATGGGTCACAAAACAGAAATCTTTTACGATTTCCATATAAAAACATATAATAGAAAAAATGTTATTTTAAGGGCACAATTTCTGTAAGCACTCTCATCTGCCTGTCTAACAAAATTATATTTTTGTGTTCCTATATCCACCTTATATTCTATCTTGCAACTCCCTTCTCTCAGATATTAAAAATCTGTCATAAATATATCCCAATAATTTTTTTCTTTAAAATGCGAATTTTGGTCTTTCTGTAGTGCTTTTAAGCTCATAATGAACTTTAATTGTCATCTTATTAACTACCTATGTGTTAAACCTGAAACAGATAATGTGACATGACATTATATTTCATATTCATTCATTCATCAGTAATCTGTCAGACGACAGGTCCACAGTCTCTTCCAAAACAGTTCCTCCACTTAATGCGATCTAGAGCTTTCTCCTTCAAATGAAAATATCCTCTTCTGTCCCCAAGGTCATCCAGCATCTTCTCACATCTTCTTCCTCGTCTTCTTGTCACTTCTATCTGCCCCTCTATCTTTCCTTCGATAACTTCTTTTAGAAGGCAGTATCTGCGTAAAACATGACCAATCCAATTGGCCTTCCATTTTCATATTTTGTGTAGGATATTCCTCTGCTCACTGACTCTAAATAACACTTCCTCATTTCTCACATAATCGGTCCAACCGATCTTCTTCATCCTTCTCCAACACCACATTTCAAAGCTTTCCAGATGTTTCTGATCTACTGCCCTAAGTGTCCAAGTTTCAGCCCCATACAAAACCATGCTCCAAATGTAACATTTCTCTAGTTTCTTTCTCAAATTTAAGTCCAATTTACTGGTAAAAAGATTCTTCTTCTTGTAAATGCAGCTTTTGCCATGGCAATCATAGATTTAATTTCACAAGTAAACCTTCCATCATCTGTTAACAAGCTACCCAAATATTTAAAACATTTCACATTCTCCATTTGGTCAAAATTTCTAATAATGTCTGTAGAATTGTATTTGGGCTTTAAGAATACTTATGTATTAATCAAGATTATAATATAAGTGTAAGTATGGCTCAGCAAATTAGCTTCTTTATCCATAATGAGTGAAAAATAAAGGCTAACAAGCAGAATAATATTGCCTTCTCCTCCTCCTCCTCCTCCTCCTCCTTCTCTCACGTGGACTGGTGTTGGAAAATGGCAATGGTATAAGTAGGCACAGTTTCTCTTGTGGAGAAATGTCTGACAAGTAGGATTTTTGTCAGACTGATGAAATGGGTTAATTTCTGTTCACCCCTGATTATATGTAATAAATCACTTGAGAATGTTTCAGAATATAAGCAACTGGGAAATGTGGTTTATGATTAAATTTGGAGCACAAATTCTAGAAAAGCTTGTTATTATTCAGTTCAAAAGCCCTATTTTCCTTCTCATCTTTCCAACATGCTAATGATCAAGCTACTGAAAGCAATAATTTTATCAGCTGTGAAACACTTTGTTACTTTGAGAGAATAATTTAAATTACAGCTGTTTGGAAATAAATTGATCAGATAATTAGTTGGTCCTAAGGAGCTTATATGTGAGCTATTTTAGGACATGACATACTAACGAACTCCTTAGTTTATACAAGTTGCTGCATATTATTAGGATAGTGAAACATAGGAGGCTATGTTTGGTTGGGCTTAAGGCTTTGATGGGTTAAACAAGAAATGCATATGTAATATTTATTGAAGGGAAACCTCTTGAAAAACGACTTTGAACAGGCTCAGGATCATGTCAAATAGTGTGTTTTTGTATTAGTAATTTTGAACTTTCACATTCTGCTACCACAGTTATATACTGTAGCTAGTCATGAGTGTATTATGCTGCATCAGTCATGCTTATATGCTTATATAAGCATAATATGTAAGCTGTAAGCTACTGCTTTCCAAACTGGGACCTGTTTATTATGTACAACATGCATAAAATGATTCTATATTATGGAGACTGTCTGTTCACACATCTGTTCATATTTTCCCGTCAAGAACCATTGAACAGGCATGGAATGAATTTTATATTAGATGTCCTTTTTAGTTTGATTTTCATAAAACTCAACATCCTTCATATATACTTAGTGGGGTGAGTCTGAGGTCACTTGGTACTGCAGCCACTATTGACCTATTTTACCAGCTACAAATGATAGATGATGGTGATTGTGGAGCGATTGGTGGATTGAAGATTGGCAGGAGAAACCGATACACTCAGGGGAAACCTGCCCCAGTGACACTTTGTCCACCACAAATCCCACATGACCTGACCCGGACTCGAACCCAGGCCACCACTGTGGGAAGCTGGTGATTAACCACCTGAGCTATAGCAGGGCCTTTCATGTATACTTTATGAGGGAATATTGTGTAAAGAACACAGAGAAAATTGTGTGTAATCCATTGTGAATTACAGCCTTGTTTAAAAATTTAGGTATGTCTCTTCCACTATAAGATGACTTTAACTCAGCTTTACAGATTTACTAAATATCATAAGTGTAAAATAGCCTTCCAGTTTGATAGAGTTTATTTTGCTAATTTACTTTGTATGCTAAAATAATAAGTGAAATCACCATCTAAGTGTATCTAATTTATTTTATTATGCTGATTAAATACTATTAAAACCTTGGAATGTTTTAGTCATAAATGACAGTCTTCAGAGGGTACACAAGATATTGGAGGAAATGTCGCAATTTACATATATTTAAAATGTTCAGGCCATCAATTTTTTATAATAATTGAAAAATAATATTATATTAAATTAATTTAATGTGAACTGTTATTGACTGCAACTTTCTTGATAACTGGTGCATTATACTATGCTATGTATTGCTGCCTCATGTTCCTTTTTTTTTTGAGGTGTCTCTAAGTATAACATATGGATGTCAAGTTATAGGTTGAAGGGTCTTTTTAATGATCAAATGTGTAAATATTATTTCTTATTAGCAAATTGTGGTATAGTTTACCTGAGTATTTAAAAACACAGTGACATCATTCAGTAACATAATATTATTGTATATTATTTTTGAAACTGTCTAATTAGTATCTTGTGTATAGCAATAACTATGAAAATAGCATCAGAGATGTTCCAAATCTTCATCACTGAAGTCCATTCGAGAACTTCAATATTGAGCAAAAAAATGCAGAAAATTTAAAAAAGGAGATGAAACATAAATGCCTTTAAAAGTTTGATCTAAGGTTTATTTTTTCTGCATATTTCACAGACAATCTAAAATCCAGAAAGCTTTCAAATTCTTTAAGATATGTCTTGACTTCCCTTATGCACTGATTATCGTAACTTCTGTAACTTTGTTAATTCTCTTAACTAGGCATGTTATTGGCAGTTATGCTTCTGTACCATGTAATGAAATGGACTTGCATAATGTTATTTTGGATTAATTTCAGAGCAATACCGATGCACTCCATGCCCACCAAAACCCTGATTGTATCTGTGACCACTGGGGTCAGTGGCGTATCCAGCAGGGGGACCATAGTGGAGGTCATGGAGCCAATGTCACTCCCCTCAAGCCTAAAAGACAGAGAAAGAGAAATGAGGGAAATAAGAAAAATGGATGCGGAAAGAAGTATGCTGCATGGCTGCCCCCTCTGCTATGCAACCCTGGATACGCCGCTGACTGGACCCCCTTATTGGTAAGGGTCCTCCTCTCTCTCTCTCTCATAATTGCTCGCTCATGTCAGTGTCATTCTGCTTGCTACATTATAACACTACTACCAGTTTATTTGAAGAGCAGAGCATATGGTGCAGTACCAAATCTGTTTGGCTATAACATGCATTTTTAAACTAAATGTATGTTCCAGTGATATGAAATGAAGAATTTCAAATTGTATAGATTCTGGATTAGCTTTTTAGATTCAAAATTCAAATAGGTGCAACTGAAAGTTAGCAAAATACTGTTATAAAGCACTAAACAACCTCATGGCCATTGCACGTATATTATATATATTTCATAACCTATATCAAGAAAGTCAAACATCATGAATATTTTAACTCATAAGAAAGTCCTTGCACTGAAATATATTTTGTATGAAAGACTTTTAATATTGCATTCAATTTTACGTTTTTGACTACAATTTTTTTCTGCTTAAGCTTCAATAAAATTAAATACTGACCAACTGCTGTCATCTTCTGTTCCCTGTTTATTCTGTTAGATGTTAGTGCTTATGTAGTTAATGAATGTCTGAAAGGGTTGGCAGAGTTGCACGACTCTTTGTGAATGCATGAATGAAGTTGGAGAGGTTTAATGGACCTGTAATTTCAGCTTTAAATATAAGAAATATAATGTAATATAAAGATGTATAACAATATGAAGTTTTAACTAAAGAATAGCAAACATTACAAACACATCAACCTAGATCAGAGTTAATGTAGTTTCTCTATTCAGAAGATTTCCTGATGGCTTGTTCACTAGGCTTTTGGTCCAAGTTTTCCAATGCATAATAAAATAATTATGATATTATTGTATTTGACTTTAATGTTATTTGATTTAAGTTTTAAAAATATATATCCTGACATACTTTACTACACCCAGAGCTATAACAATTTCCAACATGAATTACTTTTATGGTTACCAAATAGTTATACTTATTTATTTATTATTTATTATTATATTTATACTGGATGAAGTCAGCAATTCTTTATGAAGTTCTCCTCACAAAACTGGGATCTCATGGTATGTCCCTTTTCCTAAACACAGTAGTTGTGTTAATGGTATATAAATTACATCAAAGTGAGTATACACATAAATTGTCTAAATATTTTCCAGAATGTGCTAGTCTTGAGAAGTAACATGCATTTCATATTTATTAGTACATGCCACAGGTTTTGTCCTAGCCATTGCTAGCTCTCTTATCTGGCATTACCTCCAAACATTCCAGGCAAGTGCTGTGCATGTACATATAATAACCAATTATAGATTCCTCCATAAACCTCTCCAGTTCATGACTGTCTATAAATTTGTCACAAGACAACTTTCCATATTCAGAATACTGGTCAGTAAAAAATGGAAATGCTTAAACAGTGCTTCTGATATAATCTTTAAAAAGTGATGACAAATATTTTCCAGTTCATCTGCAAATTAATTATAAAAGATCTGCATGCCCATGTTTGCTTACAAACTGTATGACTATGTGACTTATGACTAAGTGTCATGTTTTTTACTTTCTATTGTTGTTATGTACTTTTTGTGTGTTTTGTGGCTCTCAGTTGTATGCCTATCAAAACTGTCTTGCACACTACTTACTGTCTGCTTCATCATTTTAGACTGGTACCCTGTTCTCAGTTCCAGTGAAACAGAAACACTTTAATCATTGACACCATGACTATGATTAATTATAATGTAAATTTTACACATAATAAACCTGAAACTTGTCTCTGTTTCAAGAGTGGAGAGAACTGTTTTGACAGTCAGCAATACACAGACACAGTAATCATGTATTCTTGGCAAGAGTCACAATTTGTAGAGTAAACACACATGACCAACTTCTACCTCAAAATGAAATTCTGAATATGGCCCTGCATGAACAATATATGTGTGCTATAGTGAAAAAATGTTGCATGTGCATGAGGGACAGAAAAATAAATAAGGGAAGTTAAGTAGCAGAAATTTACTTTCACACTATATGGTTAAATTGAACTTATATTCTTCTGACTCTGTTTACAAACAAGGACAAGGTTTTTATAGCATTCCTTCCTTCCTTCCTTCCTTCCCCTCGGCACTACAGCTCAGGGTGACCTTTGGCCTCCTAAACAATCTACCTCCATTCATTTCTACTCTTCATCTTTCCTCCCCATCCTCTCACCTTTATTATACAGAGATCGTCATGTACATCCTCCAACCATCTCAGCTCTTTAGCTGATGTTGATTTCTATTCAGTCCATCCACCCGAGGCAGATTGTCTGGTTTCTGAACAATTTCGTTTTTATGGTGTGAGGTTATTATCCTCACACCCAACCCCCCCAACCTGGAGAACCAGGTTATCCCTCTTCGCCTGGCTCTTACCCCTTGATCTGTCCAGCATGGGTGACCCTACAAGTAGCTACACTACCGCCAGCATAGCTCTTAGGGTCTCAGGAGCATTCAAACCGCACCACCATGATAAGGTGGAAACACCATTAGTGGGGATTTACAGCATTGATCAGTATATTTCTTTTCAACATTTGTTATCTCAAATATCTGTTTCTGCTTTAATCATTAGAAAGAAACGCTTAAAATGTTAATAAATCACAAAAAATTCTGAGAAAATTATTGCCAGAAATAAAAAAGTTGAAATTTTGAATGTTTTAATGCATTTAATGCTTACAAAGAATATACTGTTAAAACATAGATTTATTTTTAAAAGTATTTGTTAAATAATTACTGGAACTTACATTTTCTTGTTACCCTGTGGGTCAGCTAATGTCTGAGATGCATTCTGATTCATGGATAAAATTCTATGCTTACTATTTCGATAGAAAATTCTGTCATTTTCCTCATTTCTGGGAAGCAACTTTCAGTTAACACCATACACAGGACATCTTTGAAAGACACATTTTAAAAACAGTACTTTTCCAATATACCACAAGGGCATAATATAATTGAACATTTCATATATTTTATTATTTTACAAATTAGATCTTGCCCAAAAGTGTATACTGAAAAAAATATTGTATCCAAAAATCTTCTTCATTATATTTTTTCATCTTTTAGTTTTATGATTGCCCTACATATTCTTGTCCCACTGCTATCTTACTTCCTCTTCTTGCAGCTACCATGTGTATGCTCAGCCCTGTGTAACATCCCCAGATCGCCTTTGAGTCTTAAATGGAACTGCAGACTGATTACAGCTCTGATATAGCCTAAATTGTTTCTTACATTTCATATTATACATATTGTTATTATCAACCCATTTTTATATAGGTAATCTGTATCCAAAAAAAAAAACTGAATATGGTTTTGTTTCACACGCTTAAACAGTGTTTTCAAATTAGGAATAAATAAAATCTACTTTTATGCACACCATCCAGCAACCAAACCTCTGTGTTTATTTGTGTCTTCCCATGCTACTCCTCCTCACTTTTCTCCCAGATTATTCCTTTCTCCTTCACAACATCTCTCCTAAACTGTTGTCTTCATCATCATCTCAGTCTTTTTCTTGGGTCTTTTCCTTTTACCTTCACTTTCAAAACCTTTTTGGATTATTCCTAAATCATGCCCATTCCTTCTTATTGTGTCATTTATCAATTCTTCCAAGAGATTTATCTCTAAACTTTCTGTAACCTTTCACTTCTTATTCCCTCTCTTCCAGTTTTCCTTCTATGTGCCTTAAAAATCTTATCTCAGTCATTAAATAATTAACAGCACCAGTTAGTAAAATACTCATGGGAACAATAATACTTGAACGTTACTTATTAAATATTATAAACATTAAATGTACAAACAAACAAATAATGATGACTACAACAAAAAACCGTTGATGATTGTGATACAACCCCATTGTTAATGCATAAATTTTATGAAGATTCCAAAGAATCCCTTTACAGAAGTTACTGTATTTACTCACAAAATTGGTTATCATGAAGGGGTTTCTTGTACTGGAACTAGAAGAAAATACTAGAATTCTATATGAACAAAGAATAAGTTCCATCAAATGTAGCAATTTTTAGTATGAATAAAACCTTCACCTGTTTGAATATTAAAAACTTTAGTGCTTGATGGGACTTACTTTTTATTCATATGATACAGAGTGTAATGATTCAAGAAAATGTCTCTTATGAAAACGAGAATTTTGCTCTAAAATAGGCTGCATGTATTTACATTCTAACTAAAATGAAACTGCATTTTCATCAGCAAATTTATGCTAAATATAGTGAATTTCCATCTGAAGTTTCTCAAATTGGCAAGTATTCCCTATCTGTATGCCGAAAAATGCTATTCTACAAAACTACATGGCATTAGCTATATGCCATTATATCACAGAAGACTGTACTGTTCTTAGTCATTGGTGTGGGAACCTCAAATCCAGGAAAAACAATATTCTTTTAGTTATATTCTATAGCTGCTTTCTAGAAAACTTCCATCATATGTGTTGATAACTAACAAGACCTAGGAGTGAATGGGAAGATAACGTTAAAATTGGTCTTAAAGGAGTAAGTAGGATGCATTAAATTTATATGAAGTATGTGCAGTATTTTCTCTTGGTTGTATAGTGATGAAGGAAGCATAAGAATCTATACAGTTGACTTCTATATCTATAGAATATCTTGTTTTCTCTCAAAGATGTAGAGTATTTTGAAAAAAATATTTCTCTTTCAAAAGTATATTCATCTGCTTTCATATATCTTCTTTCTTTCTTTAATTATTTATTTATTTATTTACTTAAAAGGTAAAATTGTCCCTGTGCTTAACTAAATAAACACTACGCCATGAAGGCGTATAGGGGAGTGGATGTATAGTTTCACTTTTTTTTTGCCCTTGACACTAGTTGGAAGTGAATGGTCAGTTTCACGCTCTGACTGCTTTCCCCTCCTGGAACAGAGCTCCCAGTACCCATTGGACAGGAGGCTGGGTGGGCCCCAGAGCCTGTCTGGAACATGTGGAGAAAAGAAAATTCTAGAACCTACAGGGATTCGAACTCCAACTCCTCGGCTATCCAGCCCATAGCCAGTCACTATACCGACTGCACTACTCTGGAAAATTTATTTATTTATTTATTTGTGTGATTTGAAGAACTATATGTTTTACCAGAGCAGATGGGTCATGCTTAACCCATTGCTGAACACTCTGACCAGAATTAAGTTTTCCATTATGAGGGGGCAGAAATAGTTCCATTGTTGATTTTGATAAGAAAATTTAAAGTAGCATTATGACCCACTGCCAATTGAAATTTGGTATCGTCATCTTCGAATATATCTGCAATGACCACTGAACCACGAAGTATTAATCAGACCTTGTCTGCTACATATTTTAATTATAGTGATGTTCTTTATTTTACAAGATAATTATGATTTAACAAAAATACATTCTCCTTGAATTGGAAACTTAAATTTGTTTCTGTTGGAAACAAGTTCCAGACATTTCTTTATGTATAAATTTATGGGAAAGAATATTATTATTTAATAATGATAATATTTATAACTTCGCAGAGACAGCAAGCTAGGATGAAAATGTAGATAAAGAAACACAACTTCAAAAATGCCATTTCTACATAATGTATATGTTGTGTTGCTAGTAGCTCCATATTAGACAGCATATCACATCACATTCTGAAATTTTGTTGCACCATTCAGAATCAGTGCATCCTGAAGCTACAAGATCAGTTAAATTAATTTCCATTCATACATAGCAGCTTGTGTATTAAGTGCAGCAGAGAACACTTAGTTTTAATATCTTTATTTGTTTTTGTTACTCAGTTTTATACTGTGTTAGATGAGGATGAGGTTTACAAAGATAGAAATATGACACAAGTGTCACCTTATTTTTTCACTTTATTTCATTGGGCAGGATTTAAAGAATGAAATTAAATAAACCACTTTAAATGTTACAAGAACAGTGCGACCTTAGACCAAAATAAATCAAATGATAAACAAAACAAAAATTTATTAGGATCAACTTAAAGATGAAACATATTGCGAAGTGCTCAGATACCATTAGTATGGTCAACAGAAATGTTTAAAGGCATACCTATGTTTTTATTGACATGTCACATATTTATAAAATCCTTTAATGTGCAATTATCAAATGAAACTTACATGTACCACTTCAGTAAGACTATAACTATCAACTGGAAAATGTTTGCAATATAGTATATATTTACTATAAATCATGTAATTAGTAAATAGTTCAATTGGCTAACAGGAGCATATTGTTGAGAAGAATAGTAACTAATATACAATTAGATTATGTTTAAAATCTGAATTTAGAACAAAATTTACACAGGTTAGCTTTGCATTTTCATGGTATATGCATTCACCATTCAGTCTTGAGACTGAAGAATTATTATCATAATATATGAAAGTAGAAAATGCAGGCTATGTAGCCAGTATTCATTTAGGGTAGAATTATGAGCTTACAAAATAAAATACTTCAAGCTGTACATCCTCTCTATTTAAATAACTGAAGAAGAAGTTATTGATTTATGAGAGCCCTTAAACATAAATTTATTGGCCCTATGTTAAGTGAGAAAATTTACATTGAAGAATACAACGCTCTAACTGCAGAATTCTTGATGTTTGCATGACATATTCTTTTGCCTTACAAAATAGGAAATGTACAGCATTTGTGTAAGTGAGAGCTCTCTCCTAAAGAATTGTATTGCAAGGATGATTTGCACAATCTACTTTTTTCATGTGACTCTTTTGTTCTCTTTGTCTCCCTTCCTGTTTATTCAATTTAACTATGAATGTATGTTTCTTCACTACTGTATCTAACATAGAACTTGGTTCAGTTTTACTTAATTCTGACGTTAAATGTGTAAATCAAATAAACTGCTTTATTATGTTATGTTTGTTGTTAAACACTTCCTGGCTTCATAATCACAAAATTCACCATTTTTTTTCAATAAGAATACATTTCACAATAATAATTAAATACAAGCTCTAAGATATTTTGTGGGTTGTATATATTTATTGCCACCACAACAAGGTAATGTACCTGTATCCTATATACATATTAAGAAAAACAATATAATGACCCTTATAATAATGTGTGAAGCATATTAAGTTCCTAATTCTATAGGTAGTGTTCACTCCTTAAATCGCTGATCATTTGATTTGCTTACAAGTGACTCATGAGTCAGTCAGTCACACATTCAAAGCATAAAGAGAGAATTTCCATCTCACCCAGTTATTACGTACTTTTCACAAGATTATCTAAGCTTTGTCATCTACTGTTCTGCTGAATTTCAACCACATTTCACCTTCACTAATACAGGATCAGTACATTTTTTGTTTGCCCACCGCCTTTCAGTAACCGCTTTATTTGAACTGCTTAGTGTGAATTATCTTGTCACAATTATGAGTGGAAAATTAATGACATACTTGATGTCAGTAGGGTTAGTTATATTGAGCTTGTATGTATGTATGTAAGGGGTGGGCCATAAAAACCAGCCCCCACACTGCGACCTTCAATGATCTATATTGAGTTCAGTGTTGTACTAGTTGCTATTCTATCATTGACAAGAATAAAAACATATTTCTAAGTTCTGTATTCAGAAATTAAGTAGAAACAGATGACCAACTACACTTTAATTGTTTGTGATTTTAAACTATCAAAGTATAGTATCCTGTACCTAAGGTAAATGTACATTAAACACTGACACTAATACAAAAATTCTAATTTTGTGTTTACAGTTATAACAAAATGTAAGAAGCTGATATTTCACTTTGTTTCTAATGTTCCTTTTTGATATTAAATATAAGGAGATAAGCATCAGTTAAACTTTACATTTCCACATACCCTAAATTTATGATTGCATGTATCTCACTCAACTTCACTTCTTTGACAGTCATTATGTTAAGGCATACAATGATGATACTGTATGCATGAATGTTAATTTCTTGTTAAAAATCGATGAAATAAGTGGACTGATAGTGCAATATGCACCAGGAGGACCTACTAACAAAATAACACTGAAGAAGAATCACATTTCTTTGGAAAGATTAAATCATTGAATTTGTTTATCACTTATTGAGCTGATTGTTTATACAGACAGAAAAAACAGCAATTGATCCAAGAAGGAAGTCAAAAGCGTCATTCCTTCACTGACTATTTTAATTACAGTAAAATCTGGTTTCTTTTTTTTGAGGGGGGGGGGAATTACTTCTTGTGTCAACTATTCATAATACAAATTAAATTCATAATATTAACGCTGATGCTACTGCATCTGTCAATTTGAATTCCTTTTGTCCACTACAAACATTTAATGTAGCAGGAGACACTGAATGTTACTTTGTTATTTAGCATTAGTTGCAGGAAAGAATTTCATTTCAATTTGGCATGTATAATTACAGCAGATGTATTTCCTTTGCAGGGCAATATGAAGCAGCATATGTTGACACACAAGATTCGGGACATGCCATCACACCTCTTTGAGACCAGCAAACCACCTCCTCCTCCAGTAAGCACCCCAAATAATGATGAAGGAAGTAATACTGAAGATATGCGCACATCTTCTTTGGAGTCACCTCTCAAGTCAGACCTTGGAATGAAGAGGTCACCACCTGAAGGAGAAGCTGTCCTACCCATTCCAAAACGTCAACCAGGTATGATGTAAATGTGTGCTACGTTGTGTGGCTTCTGTAACTAATATTTATTTTCCTGCTAAATAATAATTGCTGCAACTGCCCTAAGATATTTGGTGGAAAATTATCTCCTTCACTTGTGCATTCATGAGTGTATGGATTAATTTTTCACCAGAGTCAGCAGTTCTTACAAAGGCTTTGCTCCTTAACCAGAAACTAAAACAATCATTTACATTAATACAAACAAACATTTATGTCTACTTTCTAACCCATACTTTTCTAGACATATGTTATTAGAAATTCACTATTTCAAGACAACTATATCGTGTTTACATTGCATCCAGAAATGCTCTTGGAAAGAAGTATATATACAAAAACTCTTCAGTTATTTCACTTTTATATATTCCCACCTTGTCCGGTCTGTACATTGGATAAATGTACTTACCCCTGATGGAAGGGAATTTGCAATGAGCATACACTGGTCTAACATAACTGTATATTAATGAATGCAAGCAGCTTGATCTGAAGGAGTGTTGTGTGTGTGTTTGCAGGCTTGCCAAAGCACTTGTGCCATGTTTGCAATAAGAACTTCTCATCTTCATCGGCACTGCAGATACACATGCGCACCCATACGGGGGACAAGCCTTTCAGATGTACAATCTGTCAAAAAGCATTCACCACTAAGGGCAACCTTAAGGTAACTATCATAGTAGCCACACATTCAAGTGTGATCATTTTCATAAACTTTGCCCTTATGTGAGCTCAGAATGTTTTGGGCTTCAGTATGGATGGAATCTGGTGGAAATTATAAAATGAGTTATGTCAGATAACCAGACATCAGTCTGAACTGAAACTGATCATGGATAGTAACCTAACAGCCTTAAACCATGGGAAACTCTGTGCAGAGTTAGATACTAGAGACAAACTGCGACATCATTTCACAATTTAGTCTTTTTAATTCAGATATTAAAAATATTCTCATTGGAAATGCTACTTATAGAGCGATAATATATACACACATACAACATGACTGATTTTCATATAACTGTAAATCTAACCAATTCATAGTTCCATTTTACTGCAGTCAATAGCAGTTGGTGTGAATATGGAAATAAAAATTTCATATATATAATTTCTCACATCAAACAAAGGTATTTCACTTTGATTAATTACATATTTCAACAGTTCATATTGATTCTGCTTGTTTACGTTTAAATGCTGGTTCTATATCTGAGAATTTAAAATTAATTTTCAGATATAAGAAATGCAAGGACACATAAAAGATTTGTGTGTAGCAGAGATTTTGTTGCTTCCTGTAGACAGATTTACAAAAACAAAATACCGACAACAGGACCAAGCAGGTGGCAGAGTGAGGGAGACGGACAGAAGCCAAAGAGCATTCCTGCTAGCTTTGTCTCTCTCTCACAGCCTCTCTTTTCTCATACATCTAACCAAGGTCTCTGCTCTCTGATGTATCACAAGTATACATGGCTTCAAAGAACTCAGGACAGGATTACTGCTACAATGTATAATATTAATAAATACTAGCTGAAACTTTGTAATTCATCAACTAATCATGCAATATATGTCAAAATTAATTCACAAATGCTACAAACAACTCTAGCAGGTTTAAGTTTGGTTTATAATTAACTGTACATGTAAAATGAATTTCATTTAAATGTATATCCTTAAGGAAAATATAATTGTCTAATGGGGATGTAGAAATGAAAGGCTAAATAATTGTCCCTTATAATCTGCTTCCTGGGCTGTGTACTTACAAGATTTATTCCAAACAGGAACAAAATTCAATGTATAAATATGCACACACACAAACTCCTGTACTGCATGAAGTCCTGCTAGATCTAGCACTGTAGTCAGTTGCTTTGGGCTTTACTAATGCTTTTCGAAGCTTACTAATAAATATATATGTCATACAGATATGAATTTCATAACATTTCAGACTTGGATTTTTAGATTATTATATTTTGTAGAGAACTTTGATGTGTATTTTCAGGCTACACAGTAGTTTATTTAAATGTATCTATGCATGCTGTAGAAAAATATGTAAGCTTATTATCAAGAATGCCGATTAATCTCTAATCTCCTTTACATTATTATTATTGTTGTTGTTGTTGTTGTTGTTTGTAATAAGTAAATGTGCACATATCACAAAGAAAATATTTTGTGAAACACCCACATGGCAAACATTGGCTCATGTCCAGGTGCACATGGGCACTCACATGTGGAGCAACGGGGCCTCTCGCCGCGGCCGACGCATGTCTCTCGATCTGCCACCGATACCCATGACACCCAAGGATTCAGAGTTTCTGCAACGGAGGCCAGATCTTTTCTACCCATATCTTCCAGCCCCATTCCTTAATGGCATGCAGCAGAAGGTAACCACAGCATGAAAACAAGATTTACTAATGGACATATAATACTATTGTAAATACTGATGACGATGATATTTTCGTATGAACATTTTCAGTCAGTGTGCATTATACGATCTCAGAAATTGGACATCTTGAATTCATTTTGCAATATTCTGACAACTACCTATCGTGCAGTCTGGTTCTATCTGTATACTTGTATATGAACATTATTGCTGTATTTCTTTGTTATAGTACACTGATTTTGTTACAGCTGAATGAGATCTCAGTGATCCAGAGTGTGAACAGCAACAACGGTACTGGTCTGAGTCCACCTGGTGGTAAATATGCCAGTTTGCTGGGATTTGGAGGATACAGTGGATCTGACAGACCAATTATTTCAGAGCCTCCACAGTCTCAACCAAATTCTCCGCTCTCTGACAAGCCTCTATCATCACCACCGCCATTATCATTGTCACTGGGAAGTCACCATGACTCCCCTCCATTATGTGAATCAGGAGGAAATGATTGTCCAGATCGGGAAGCTGTATCCAGGAGAATGTGGGACCTACATTATGATAGAAAGGCATCTGGTGGGGACAATGATGAGCCTGTAGGTACATCTCCGTCTCCTCCTGGTCATGCGACACCTCACCCACCCACAGCCTCGAGGGGAGAAGGACTGGCAGCATGAGACTGTTCTGTGCCTCTGCACTGAAGGGGCACAAGATATAACAGCCAGTTAAATACCATGGTCTACATATCTCATTAATTATTTATTGAACTTGGACTGATGTATGCATATGAATGCAGTTGGTGGCTTCTTGGTATAACACATCACTTGTCTGTGGTGCCGGCTGAATCACTGTGGCTGCAATGTTCCTATTTTGAAACTAGTCTTTATATATTATTGAAGAAATAAAAGAGACAAAAAGGATATGACAAAGATATTTGCTGACAGGAAGAAGTGTTAAATATTTGATACAACATTGACTGTTTCAGTAAGTGTAATTACCAAAAATAATAACTTGTTTTATACCAGCTCAATAGCCAGTCTGGAAGAGCTGCCAATGAAGGATGTTAACTCTCTAGTGGCTCTGGATCTCTTTTAAATTTTGAAGGGGAAGTGCAGATTATAGATGAGCTCATTGATTGATGACCAGAATTCAGAGAAAATATTATTAATATTATTATTATTACTATTATTATTATTATTATATTAAAATATTATACATAAAATATGTGTGTATGCGTGTGTGTGACAGGGTTGTTGCGTGGAATGGGCCAAGTGAATGTCAGGCTTCAACACTGTTTGTTTTTGGGCTGGGGCAATCTGGGGACAGAGCATGGCCCACGGTCCCCATGACTATGATTCACTGTGATACTACACCTGTAGGAGGGTTTTGTGTACACGTGTGCAAAAATATGGAACATGTGTGTTGTCAAGTCAATGAGAATCAGAGGTATGGTACTTAAAATACCAATCAACCCTCATACTTACTTGTATTGTCGGCCAATTGTCAGGAAATTAAAACTACCACTGATTAACAAAACATTTTAAATGTTGTGAGATGTGCAGAGTAAGATAAGTACGAGTATACTGAATGGTTACAATTTCCTTTGTGAAACCTGCAACCTATACCTATCTCCAAACATTCTTGGGACTTCTTTCTTCTGAGAGTCACCCAGGTGGTAATGGACAATTCGAGCTGTAACTGTACATTTGCTACTGTATTTGGTGTTATTCGATTACATACAATTACTGTTCAGTGTATGTTGCTCAGAACAGAGATTATTCAGTTTTTACTGTTGTTACCTGAAAACCCTTTCTTTTTTGTTGCTGTATATAGTGTAAATGTATATGGTAGGCCCCTATTGTTGAGGAGGTTTTAAGGCACTCTATACAGAACTTTGGAGATGTTTAAGGAAACACAGAAAGGCTTTCTAAGAATAATTATTCTATATCATATGTGGAATGACATTGGAAGGCAGCATGTTTAGCAGGATATAGTCATCCAAGATGTACAACCATATGATGTGTATATAGATATGAATTCACGGCATCTTGCTTGATATTCCTGGCTAACTGCTAACCAAACAAAACTTCAGCATTGCCGACAATGTAGTGTATTTGATTGATGTGAAAGCTTTAGACAACACTTGCCCAAATCCTGTCTCAAAAGTACAAAATCTTCATCCGTTCATTGTTTGTTGTGTTATAACCTTGCTATTGTGTCACCGTTCATCACTTCCTATTACAAATTTGGCAGCTATATGATGGGTTGGGTCATCTCTCTGTAGTATTTCACATAATGAAGTATGAATTTCATGCGCTTACATCAAAGCTACAGAATTAAATTTTGAGTATAACATTATGCTGTATTCCATTAAATTTTATATACTATTGGTTTTCCAAATGGTATTAATTAGTTCCTCAGTTTGAACAAATCTGCTTCGAGTAACGTACAGCAATTCTGTTTAACAAAACCCATGCCTGGATTTCTTTAATACCAAGTACTTTGCAAATTGAAAAATGATCTCAAAGCTACCTCAGACCACCTAATATGTATCTTTCCTTCAAAATATCATGTAATTCAGGAAGGAAAAGACAGATTTGGGGGATGCTTACAAAAAAGTGGACCAATTCCAACAGTGACGTTCAGTGTTATATCTGAAAAATTAAGATACTCTCCATATTTACAGCAACACATGACTGAAATTATCTTTGGGCCTGTTCAACATCAACACAGCAAATGTAACCGAATGGGTTGCATAGTGGTAACACTCCTGACTCCTATTTCAGAGGTCCTCAGTTCACATCTCAGCTAGGACATTGACTGCCCTGATTGAGGGTTTTATGATTTCCTTCAATCCCTCCACGCCAATGTCATGATGGTATCTCAATTAGCTCATGACCGCTTCCTTCCAAATCATAATTCATCTATGAGGTGTATAAGAAAGTTCCTGGACTAGGTCAAAAAAGAAATGCTGGCTTAACTCGTTCAATTTAGCTACCATCTCCTTCAAAATAATCTCCTTGGGAATGTATACAGCGATCCCATTGTTTTTTTTTTCACACTTCAATATTACTGTGGAAGTCATTTTCCTTAATGCTGTCAAGTACTGCTTGCAATTCCCTTTGGATGTCAGATACTGTTTCAAAACGTTGTTCCTTCAGTTTCATTTGCAATTTGGAAACAAAGCAAAGTCACAGAAGGGTAAATCCGGTGAGGAGGGAGGATGGGAAATGATAGCCATGTTGTTGTTAATCACAGACTCTGCGGTTTTCAGGGATGTGTGGGCAGGCATGTTGTCATGATGAAGTAGCAAGTTGTGGTTGTGCCAAATTTCCAGTCTTTTTTGTCACACATTTTCTCTCAAGCGTCTCAAAACATCACAGTAAAGTCAGAGTTGACTATAGTGTTAGGAGAAACAAATTTATGGTGTACAGTTTCAAATTTTTTAAATATTTTCTGTTGTTCTGCTGGTGCTTCATTGTCCTGAATGTTCATCATCTTCAGATGGCACTCAACCGGCTTTGAAATGTGAATGCCATTCAAAAACCGCTATCCAACCTAATGAATGTTCTCCAAAAGCCTCACAAAGCATTTCAAGGGTTCTGGTAGCAGATTTACAAAGCTTCACACAAAACTTGATGTGCACACGTTGCTTGATTTTGCCATCCATTGCAGACAAAATGAAACACAAAACCAAAAAAGCACTAATGTAGAAACAATACCTGTTCACAGGGCAGTGTCACATGATAGATCGATGCAACAGGCTTGCAGAAGTGTGACCTTGGACTCCCCTCTCATCTTCTTTCACCCAGTCAGTTACAACAGTAACAGTCCAGGAACTTTCCGATACGGCCTGGTATCATCCATCCATTCAGTGGTATATAGTGTAGCTATCAAAAGCGTAATTAAATAATCCACAAATAAATAAATAAAACACAAAATATGTAAAATATATCAGCAAAGCATTCCATGTCCAAAGAGTAAACTTATGCAGAGTGGTGAATTTACTGTACACTAGAATAAAGCTTGTTGAAATTTCAACCACAAATGATTAAAAACAAACTTTGCTAAAAATAACTAACCACAAAAACCTATAAAATTGTAGAAAGGCAACTACATTTTTACTGATTTATAATAACAGTATGTAATTTTTCTGATGAAGGTGGACACTATAAAACTCAAGCATGTCTTCCACTGTTTCCACCTTCTGCTTCTATTCGTAATTACTTTCCAGAATAACAAAGAAACAGAATAAAAAGAGAAGAGCAAGCTTTAACATGTTATATATAAAGGTGTAAGTTTTAAACAAAATGGGAGCTAATCATATGTTGCATATGAATGAGTAGCACTCCTATATCATTATGGGTTGAAATCGTATCCTGGAAAATGGCAATACTGACCTAGGTTTTTCATGGCTCTTGTCCATTCTTCCAGACAAATTCCAGAATAATACCACAAATTAGGCCAGAACTACTTCCTTCAATATCCTTTCCAATTCATTAACTCATCATCCTACCATTCAGCACTACATATGAACTACAGATAGCATAAGTAAATGATCCATAATTAAATTAAGTAAACAAAGAGGGGCAAACTTTTCTATTAATGTTTTTACAAAAACAGTAAATCTGTCTATATGAAGCTTTACAGGTAAATTCTAAGAATTTGGACAATCTAGAGGTGTATAAAATCGCAGTGAGATTTGCAGTGAATATTGAACAATAAAAAAATGACTGCTCTGAAAATGCAGCTGAAAATGTCCACAACATTATAATTCTTTTCATTAACATGGGGTATATGTAGAGTCTGTCTCATGCATCAAGGGATGGTATGCACTCAGAAACAGCATTCCATTCTATTTGGTGGAGTCACAAACACGGATGAGTCCACTTGGTCAAATGATGCACAGAAAGGTGAAGCAGGCCATTTGCTTCCTGACATTGTGCAGAGAAAATCATCTAATAACAGTAAGAGATACCCTCACGATACTACAACTTCCTCTTGCATCCTCATTTCATGCACGACCATATGCCATCATTTGTGGCATGAGTTCTAGGAGAAGGAGACCACTTGTGGTGATGTCAAAAGTTCATGTGAAATTTAATGTTTAATGGTCAGAATTTGGATAAGGTTTTAATATGACCGGTTCTAATATGACCACTTGTGTGGTTTTATTATGAGTCTGGATTGCAGAAGGAAATTTTTGTCATATTTTCAGATGTGACATTGAAACATAAAATGTAATATTTCCTACTAACTAAGACACAGCTTAGGTTCATATTTAAATAGCCTAATTTCAGTTAATTTCTATGAAATTGATCATAATTATAAGCATAAATAATTATATTTCTCAATTACTGCTAAATGTACCAGTCCTCAGTTACATGCCATATTCAAAATTAATTATTTTCAAACATATGCTTCTTTCAGTACCAGTTTCTGAATGTATGCATAATGATTATAAATCCTTATTTGGTCCTCAGTGATTCAAGCATAGGTACTTTCTATGCTATTGGAAGATATAAAGGAATTGACCAAATGAGTAATCATGTGAAAATATATATTGCTGTTTCATTTAGAATGAACAAAATTACAGTTCTGTAAGTAGTGTTGCAACTGAGAACTGATACCTTAAAATATTTCTTTCTTCTTTGGAAGAGGTTCACTGTGGAAATGCTGTGTCTTTTTCTGTTATTTAAAGATTCAGATATCCAGCACCATGTTTGATTGGCTGTCTTATTAATTTTTTTTCATCCCAAATGTTTGGTTAGGCTAAAGCTATTGTAAATTAGTATTTACAATTAATGCTAATATTTCCATAGATTTAGTCCATAGTACTTTGTTTTTTAACACCACTTACACAAGCAGAAGCCCTTGTTTCATTACAAATAGTGTAGACTTTTCTTAAACAACCAGAGTCAGGAAATTGGACTAAACATGCTTATTCTCTGGGAGTGTCTTGTTTTGAAGGGAACAGAGACAGAAGAGTTCTATCTTCTGCGATGCAACAGCATGTAGTCCATTGAAATTCATCTGTTTTTTGGAGGAACATATCAGTTGACTTCCAACAGACTGCACAGCATTATGTCCCAGGAGACAGACCTCTTCATAACTACTGCTGTGAGAACCCCAAATCCTACATAACAGAGACATTTTTCTTTCTGCATAAGGAGGTCCTTAAAATGTTGGGGTTCCTTTATCCCACACATCTAGGTGAAATTATATTCAGAATGTTATGTTACTTATTTGTTTAGGATATTACACAAAAAAATCACTGAGCATTATGGTTTCAAATTTAAGAACTCAAATCTGGATTCCAGCATAAATGATATGCCTTTCAGGAATGATTCTCTTTTCTGCAATATTCCTCATTTTTTCAGTTTTCAAATTGTGCCATGTCTGCCTTCTTCTCAGCCTTCAATAATCCACATCTCATAATGATATCCCTCTGTTGAAATTTCATATAAATATTGCATGAAATGAATAAAATGAAATCACAGTTGAAAGATCATGTCTGACAAATTTGATTTTGGTTCATATCAGTCCTACTTTGCTTTAAGCTGAATTCAGACTTCACCTGTTTCCACCAAACACATCGTCAATACTTGACCTAAATTATAGACAACATAAAGATCTAGTGTGTTTATATGAAACATTTTTAAGTATTGTTTATATTTACCGAAATACAGTAGAGGATGTATGTACCTCTCAACAGTAGACATATTAGCAATCTTTTAGCACCTATTTCCATCAAACGTGTAGCACTACCTGAAGAATATGAATATAAATAATAAATTTTATTTTTATATAATTTCCAAATTATAAAACCACTACTTACAAAGAAAAGTATCTGTTGTCTAGGGTCTGAATTATTTAATGAAATGCAAGGGAAGCATAATACATCCATATATTTGCATTAGCTTCAGCAGCTATAGGTCTGTATGTTGCTCTATGGTACATATTCTTAGTGCTGTTTGTGGCCTAGAATTTCAGTGTAAGATGAATAGAATTAAATAAACAATGAAATTGTTTTCTGTCTAACAAATAAATATCAGGAATATACAATGACACTTCATAAAGAATATGTTTGGAAAATGTATACTTCATTTTTCATCTTAGGTATGTGGGAAATGAAACTACAGAAATAATTAATAGAAGAAATAAACATTTGAACACAACATATCTGAAGAGTGTTTTAGGCAACAAATAACAAAGAGGGCTGTTTTAAATGGCCAGAGCCTCTTTCTGAATACCTGTTTTATGGACAGTTTCTTCTGTATCAAACATAGTGTAACTGATACCATGATGGCTCTTGAGACCATGAAGCCACACAGCACAGCAGGCCTTGCATTCAGTCAGCATATAAGGGCTTTCTTTCGTGAACAGCGTTTATTGCATAAACACTCTATTTCTGATAACATATTTGAACACTTTTCCTGATGATCCCACAGATAACAGGCAACTGAACACCATTTTCACTCTAATCTATATATTCACAAATTAACACATCACATTTTAATTGTGGACTGAATAATGCAAAGAGATGAATGTAATTAAGCCTAAAGAAAACAAGTTCAACAAGACACTAGGCATACAATCAGTTTTCTGTTCAGGCAGAACTTATATTTTTTATATTAATTTCTGAAGTTTAGCAGCACTCAAAATAAGGATTTTTGAACCAAAAGATTTCTCAAATACTAAAACGGTTATTTTTAAATTAATCTGCAGAAGCTATTTGAGTTCTAAAATATGCAGAGCTCTCATATGCAAGAGTTTAGTTAAATCAGTACCTTCTATATAATGTTCTTCAAATCTCATGACAACATATACAGTCTGTAATGAAAGTATCTATTTCATTTCCTCATGACAAGTATCAGATTCTTGTGTCATCTTATCTTTCTCTTCTCTGGAATAACACAGAAATCATATGCAATGTCTTTATATCCTGTATGAGTGATTATTACTTTGTGTAAACATGAGGTTCCTTACAAAATCTCATAAATTCCA